TAATTTTCTTTCTTCCTCCTAGCTCCCATGCTGCATTTTCATCAGCGCAGTGACTGCATTTCATTACAGTAAGTGCTCCAAGCTATTGGGCATGTACTGATATGCTTACTTCTTTTCACAAATTTTCTCTAAACTTATAAAAAACCTATCAGTAGATGTTATCATTCTTATTTTTACACATCTCTTCCAGCACAGAGAAAGCTACGTCTAGGCGGATGAATTGATAGATGGGTGGGTGGATGAACAGGTGAATGGGATGGATGGATGGATGAATGGATGGATGGATGAGTAAATGAATGGGTAGATGAGTTAATATATGGACGGATAGAGGAGTATTGAAAACATTCAATTGACTCAAATCCAAAGTATTACCTTCCTTCATTAGGAGTTCCTCGCCCCTACACCAAATAAGAATGTGGAAGATGATTTCAGTTCTACATAAGGCTTCCTGTATTATAGAAAATTCGTTATAGATGAAGGCAATACCCCCAAAATAAAGAGTATTCTATACGTAACTTAAGCAACGTAAACCAGTGAAAAGGCTTTAGGGGAACAAAACCCGCCTCACATCTCTTATCTAAGGATTTACTAAGTTCCTGGCCTTGAGCCTTGAGCAGCTCACCCTTTCCTTGACCATCAGTGTCCTCTATAAGACAGGAGAACAACCACATCTCCCTCACAGGTGACAGAGAGAGGAAAGTTAGGTCATGGAGGTAAAAGCCTGGCACAGGTAGATCCTTAATAATTGTTCCTTTTCTCCAATCTCTAACTCAAAGAAATTTAAAAAGCTATGAAAGTAATGAGGTCTTGAAAAACAAAATACCAAATGAAGGTTTCTCCCCACTTATAGCTCAGCATATGCCTATGCACCATCATCACCCCCTCCATGCCCAGGCTGACTGTCACAAAGCCATTCCTTAGGCTCTGACAGATGTATTTTCTTGCCAATTTTGTCCCTTGTCCATTTGGCACCCATCCTCATAGGGTTTCCTCTTTCTTTGCTTCTATTAATGCTTGAAATTAAGACCGTTTTCAGTTTGTTTTTATGTTTGAGTTGTGGTTGAAGCAGGTATCTCCCACAAACCCAGAAAGCCTCAAACTTCCTAGGGAACTTTGGGAAGTCGCCACGGTGTTCGCTGTCAGAAGGAAAATTCTTCCCTTGATTTGTCCAAGTCCTTCTGTTTAAATCCAAGGGAAAAGCTCAGCTTCCGTTCCACCTGGCCTATGTATACAATAGATGGATGTTCCCATGTCCCCCGTGGAGAGTTCTACAAGGGAAAATTTCAAACACATGGTTTGGAAGCAAAAGTCCCAAGTGCTATGAATGAAACGTATCAGTCATCATTTTTTCTACCCTCCCTCTATTTGCAGCCCAGAAGCTGAAGTCACCTGTTATCTTGGAAATAATCCCTGAAGGATCCAGTCCAAGGGAGCAAAGTGGACTGGTCACCCCAGCCAACGCTATCTAAGTTCCACGCTCACTCAAGACAGGAAGCCCCACATCCTGCAGCCTCATTCATAATCCATTATAGACGTGTTGTTCTTGGAGCCCACGTTGAGAAAAGACGTTAACTATGCACATTTTGGCAAAGATGCAGACCAGAGTTTGATCTACGCAGCTATCACATAAAATAATAAAGTAGAAACGCAAATGGCAGAAATGTGCCCGTATCGCAGCGGAGAGTGTGCCAAAGCTGACCGAATAATTATACATTTTTCATGTTTCAATAAAGGTACTTAACTGGCATTTTGTGGGACACTGCTGGGTGAGAGCTCGCAGCCTCAGAGCTGGCAGGGAGCCCACATCCTGAAACCCTGGCAGCTCCCCATCTTCTCTATTAGCTCAAAGCACATGGAGAGACGAGAGCAGGACAAATGAGACACCTCTTTTTTTACCCCAAGTATATTGGAGTCCACCCAAGAAAAAAGCAAGGCAGGTTGATGAAAAGTGCAGGCAAGTGTTCCCAGCCTCTCCACTGCATACTCCACTAGGGAAATCATAAAACCACAGTCATTTGAACAGCCGCTTAGAGTTGACAAGTGCTTTTCAAATGTATTCTCTTAATCCTCACACAAAGTGCTGAGGAACGTATTTTTATGGCCCTTCTTTCACAGATTACATCCATGGAGGCTCAGAGAGGTCGAGGGACTTTCATAAGGATAAACAGCAAGTAAGTGCCAGAAAAGGGCCTGGTCCAGTCCTTTCTGCCTCTCACACCTGTGCTGTGGGCTGCCTGCCTCCCTCCTCACCCAGACCCGCATCGGTCTGTCTGATTCTCTGCCTCACACCCACGCTGTAAAGGCCAGGAAGTTGGAACACGTCTGGGTAGAAATCTGATCCTCAGACCTTCAGGACAGAGATAAAAAAGCCATTTTAAATTGTGGTACGAAGAAGTACTCACCCCTTCCTCATGCGTGCAGGAAAAGATCAACAGGCAGAAAACTGATGTTTCGTAGTGGCCCGGTTTATTTTATGCCCCTAAAGAGTCAGAAATGGTGATGTGCTCACGTAGGGAGACCGCCACAAACATAGCATGGGGATATTCTGTTATGCTTGCAATGGCTTTTCCTGGCCCTCTGATCTCTTTCTTCCTTCCCTTGGCAATCTTTTGGGGCACTCCTAAAAGTCGGGAACTGAGACCTAAGCTCGCATTTGGTTCCAACCTATTCACTGGTTTCCCCAAAGGTTTGAGAAGCCATTCAAAGCCTCTGTCCGTCACCTCTGTGCGTAAGGAGAGACACACTGGTTTGAATTGGTAAGATCTTTGGGATCCCCAACTGAGACAGCTTCAGCTAACTCTTCTCAGAAACAACGAGGGCTCACCTAGTTTAAATCCATGGGGAGCAGGGATGGGAGAGGACATCCAATCCATCGTGAAAGATCATTCCACAGAATGTATGTTCCGGGTTCTCTTTTTTTAAAATGTGTTTCAGAGTCTGGCTTCTGCCATAGATAGAAACAGGGTTCATGGAAGCACTTGGTGCTGGCTGGGCCAGGAATCCAGTTCAGTTCTAAACCAAACTCTGATCCGCTGAAGTACACACAGGAAGCACGCTCCTGCTATCAAAATGTTCTGGTTAATTGGGAACTAAGTAGAGTCTAGTGAACATAATTAAATCTTTCTTTGATAATTGAGAATCTTGCAGTGCCCCGGGGTGATCATGCTAAACATCAATTATCAATTCCCACTGGTAGGAATGCAGGCAATTGAGCTCAACCTGAAGTGGCTTCGAGGCCAGCTACAGGCCAGCTACACCCGTTTTTACTGAATCCCTAATACCAATTTATTATTTTCCCTATTTCCTGGACAGCTAGTGCAGGGAAAATTCTGTCCATGAGACACTTGAAGTTGTTTGAATCACAGTTAATCAAGATCTCCATATAATTATTTAGAAATCAGAAGAACTCTCAGAATGTCAGCTTATTATACCTGGTTATTAACTCAAATCAATCCAGCCAGATAAAAATAAATCCTTGGATTTATTTTGCAAATTTGTTTTGAAGTCCACTCCCACCTCCAACACCCCTGGCCAGATACATTCTCGCCTTGCGTACATCAGATAGAATGAGTCGAAGGACGCCAAGTCAAATGAATACTCAAGTCCCGGTTCCCCTACTAAGTAGCCGTATGACATCAAGGAGCCTATTTCACTTCTGAGATTCAGTTTCCTCATATGCACACCTGAAGGTTGGATTTATCGGTTCCTAAACTTTCAGGAATACAGATCTTCCTACGGCCAGGCACGGTGGCTCACGCCTGTAATCCCAGCACTTTGGGAGGCAGTGGTGGGTGGATTACCTGAGGTCAGGAGTTCGAAACCAGTCGGGCCAACATGGTGAAACCCTGTCTCTACTAAAAATACAAAAAATTAGCTGGTTGTGGTGATGAGAGCCTAGAATCCCAGCCACTTGGGAGGCTGACGCAGGAGAACTGCTTGAACCCAGGAGGCAAAGGTTACAGTGAGCTGAGATTGCGCCATAAATCAGAGAAAAATTAATAACATTTTTCCCAGGAGAGAAAAAGCAAAATAAGTACAAAATGTTTACATTCTAAATGGGGCATGGGGGCATGGACTCGACTCCCCCGAGCCCACCATCTTGTGACCCTTCCATGAAATTTAGGCTTAAACTCCCGAAGTAGAAGACCCCTTGGGCCTCTTTGAATGCCTGCATCCTCCAAATCCAGCTAAATGCAAGCATAGACAGTAGTGGTTCTCAACCTTAAATCTACATGATCTACATGGAGACCCCCGGGAGTTTTCAAAACCTAATGCTTAGACCGATCCCTAGACCGGTTAAATCCTTATCTTTGGGGGTGAGTCCCAAGCATGAGTATTTTGTGACCCTCTCCAGGTGATTCTAATGTGCAGACAAGTTTGCAAACCACTGCTCTAGAACAAGGATTCTCAAAATCAGGAGTGAATAGCTTCCCCCAGGGAGAAGACACATTCCCAGGCTCCTGCCCTACATGACTCAAACACCTTCTGGTCAGATCCTGCCTGGGAATATGCACCAATCGTCAGCATCCCAGGCCATTCTGATGTAATTACAATTTGGAAGCCCAGTAAGATAGCCATTTAGCAGGAGAAGGGCAGAAGGGTCCTCTCCTCACCTCCCCTGTCCTCCCAGACGGCTCTACATGGCCTCAGCAGGTCTCCAGCCTTGTTCAGAAAGAGCTTAACAGGCCTCCTTCATTTCCCAAACAGGCTTTTTCTCCACCTTCCCCATCTCTAGCAAACATGAATCTTTTACCCAGAGCCTCTGATCCCACCAGGCTCAATAATTGAAGCAGAACAATCATCAACATCGTCATGTTTAATATTTGAACCCCATAGCATCACTCAGGTCAGTTTCAAGGTGAGAGCCGACTCCTGTTCTGTGGCTGTCAGCAAACTGGGCCAGTGGTTGCCAAAGGGGACTGCGTGCCCAGCTCCCAGGCAGGCCAGCCCAGGCAAAGACCCAGCCCGCAGGGTTCTGCACCCACACTACCTTTTCCTACCTGAAGTGTGTGCAGCAGGACCTGCAGCCCACTCGCTTCTTGCTCGGCCATCCTTTCCTCGGGTCCTAGGGAACCGCTGCCTGCGGCCAGATCCAGGCTGGAGAGGCGGCGGCTGCCAAGCTGACCTCGCTGCCCGCCTTGCAGGAGACGGCTGCACAGAGGCCTCAGCTGCACATGCTGCTGAGTGTGAAGTCACCGCGGTGCAACCCTAGACCTCGGCACAGGCGTGAATACCCCCCGACTCCCACTGTGGGGATTAGGTTAGCCCTGGCTGTGGGGAGGGCTGAGCATTTGGGTGCAGCGGTGGGGAGGGCACCAACATGAGTCACTCACCCACCTCTAGGCCCATGCAGGAGCACAGCAAAGGAGAAGCCACCCTGGATGGCTGACAGGCATTCCCAGCTGGCCTGCTCAGACTCCCTCTAGAGGCTCCCTCAGCCCGCCCCGCTACCCGCCCCCCACACCCAACCCCTTTATTTTGGTCTGTTGCCGGCTCCCGGGTAACAGGAGACCCAAGAGTGCTTGCACAACTGTGGCAGTTCAGGGCACAGAAACCCGGGGCCCCCTGAGGTCCCAGGCTTAGAAACAGGAGCTCCGGCTGAAAAGGAAAAGAATGACATTTTCTATGGACCAGGTCCCTTACAGAATCTTTGAATTTTTTACAGTAACCTTATAGAGGCGAGTGCTATTAGGACTAGCCCACCCCTGTTTTAACACGTAAGAAAACTGAGGCACTAAAATGTTAAGCCGCAAGAACACAGAGCGTAGAAGTGCATGCCAGGCCTCAAACAGGCAAGCTAGCACCAGAGCACAAGCACTAACCATTGCACCATCCTGCCTCTTGCTGCTGTAAATACTTCAATCAAAGTAATGGAGGGCTGAGAGCCCTGTCCTCAGCCTCAGGGATGAGGTGAGTTTCCTTCAGACCAGTGTAGAATCCACGATCCCCTTCTGTGTTTTCTGCTGGGGATGTATGAGCAGAGGCTTAGTGACTGGCTTCTCCTCCTCCCCATATCAACATCCTTCAATGCTGGCTTCTCAAAGTCTGGTGTGGAGAGTCACCTGGAAGCTTGTTAGGCCCCTTCCCAGAACCACTGTGTCCCACGCTACATTTCAACCAGATCCCTGGGAGATTTAACAAAGGGACCAGAGGATTAAAGTCTGGGAATCTCCCATTTCAACTGTATTGATTACACTGCCCGTGTGTTCAACAATTCTGACGACGTTTGACCCAATAAATTAGTACCCAGCAAGCTCAAAGCACAACTTTACTGTGTTGAAAGCATGCTTTACGGTGTGAAAATGGACAGCTGAGCTCAGTGGAGATTCTGACTGAGAGCACAGCCAGGTATTAGAGAAGAGCCTTGGTCACTATGGGAGGGAGCTCCCAGCCAACACCCCGATACAGAGTTTAGGGAGGGCGCATCAAAAGCATTCGTCAGACAGGTACCAAGCACACTGGGGTGACTGAAGAAACTTTGCGTTTCCAGATCCTGCTTGACCTAAGCGTTCTTAAGTCTCAAGTCAGGGGTCAGGCCAGGTCAAACCCTCAATTCAAGGACAAATTCATGTAGTTCCCGCCCTCAAGAAATTTTCGTTTCATGGCTTTAAATATGAAGGCCTCCCATCTTGGGAACTGACTCTAAGTGCTCGCATTTATGAAGCTTGGGGGGTGGGGCTGACCCCATCTATCCCCACCCCCGTCTCTCTACACTTCCTAAGACCTCTGGAGCCAGGAGGAGAGAAATAAAGCTTCCCCGCGGATTTCCATGGGAAGGAGATGGTTTTCAGGTCACGTGCTCTCTGATCCTCTAAGGCCCGGGGTGAAGGGAAGAGAGAACCATCTCATGTGACTGTCTTAAGGGGAGATTATTTCATGGATCTCGACCGGAGGATAAAGAAAAAAGATGGAGAAAGAAAAAAACAAAACTATTTTCCCAACATAGACCTAAAAAATAGCTTATAGATGTAAGTAGCAAGAAGTCATAAAAATGACCTCTGAGGAGCGATCTAAAGGTTTTGCGGTCACACTTCCTGACGTTAGAATTGAAGAAAAATTGTCTCCATTGTGAAGAGTGTCTTGGTTCAGCTGCCTGGAATTGCATAGGGCAGAGGTGAGATTCAAACCCCATGTGTAAAGGGATTGCTCTCTTCTACTTAACGACGCTTTTGCCGGCATAGCGCCAGGAACCTGGTTTTCAGTAAACCCCTTGTGAGATAAGGTAAGGAGTGGCCTCCCTCTCTCTCTAGTGATACATCTGCCTCCCATGCCCAGCTTGGCTGCTCTCCCTTCCATCCTCTGGAAAGTTACTGCCCACCTGGCCAGCTGGATACACGTGGATGCCAGACAAGGAGCAAAGAGCTGGTTTTCAGCCTCTAATTTTCTAACCCATCTGGGATGCAGGTCCAGCTATTGCCAGCCCTCCACCACACCTCTACTCTCCTTCCTCAGGCCTCAACAGAGCCCAGTGGAGACCCCAGAAACCCTGTTCCCCTGCCTAGAAGAACTCTCTTCGCTCTCACAGTTAAGGGAAGCCCCAGAAGTACCCCCATCCGAACTTCCCTCTCCTGAATTCTATCTTAATGAGGGCCCATTCTGTTAGAGGACTCATTACCTTAGGCCGGAGTATAAATGGGTGACAGAAGGGAACTGTGCTCTTCCCCAGTTAACATTTGGATTTTAGCAGGGACTTTCCTGAAAGGCAGGTGGGTGTGGAGTCAGCCTGGGCAATACAGTATCCTACCCACTGCAGACCGAGGTGAGGATTCATTCATCCACACGAGGCAGCCAAGAGGGGTTGGTCAGTGCGTAGGACAGGCCATGGAGGCGGCGGCTTCTTTGTGAAGCAGAGAAAGGACTTCCTACTCATTTTACATAGCATGTTTTGAAGAAGGGGTTTGGGAAGTCCGAGAGGAGATTCAAGCAGAAGTTCAAAGAGATCTCAGTCCTCTGACATTAAAGAAAGATACATTCAATGTCATCCAGAGATTCCTCTTGCAATTCAGGCAGCCACAAGACCACCTTCAGGTTTAGTGATTGGCTAGAACTCACGGAACTCAGAAAAGCCATTGTGCTCACAGTTATAGTTCATTACAGCAAAATGACACAGAACCACATCAGCAAAAAGAGAGAGGCGCACAGAGCAGCGTCCTGGAGAAACCTTGCATGAGCTTCCGGTTTTCCTTCCCCTGCAGAGTTATGCAGCCAGCACTCCCAGCAACAATGTGTGCAACACACAGGATATTGCCAACCATGGAAACTCGCTTAAGCCCTGGTGTCCAGGGTTTTATTGGGAGTTGGTCACGTAGACATGAACGGCCTTAGTCTCTATCCCTGCCAGAGGTCGAGCTTATAATATATGGCCCAGGGCCCCCAGGTAAACAAAGACAGTCATGAGGCAGGACATTCCAAGGATTTACAGATTAGCTCCCAGGAACTTAGAGAAGGAACAAACCTTCCTTTGGGCAAGATTAATCCTTTGCCACACACCTGCCCTCTCATCCCATCATCTCAGACTCAAGACTCTCATATCTTATGAATAAGACAGAGACAGAAGAGCAGGCCTGTATAATTAGAACTGAACAGCGAGCCGAATGCCAGACTCAAAGAGTAGTAATTAACTCACACAGACGTAGAGGGTTTTCTAACAGCATGTGGAGTATTCGGTCCCCTTGCTCCTTCCTATTCAACATTTTTATCAATGACTTGGGTGAAAATAAAGGCTACATGCTCATCACATTTTCAGATGACACCCAGTTAAGAAAGTTAGAAATATGTCAGATGACAGAGTTGGAATCCAAAAAGATTTCAACAGCCTTGAGTAATGGACCAGATCCTACAGGATGAAATATAGTAGAGCCAAGAGTGGAAATTCCCTCCCCCAGTCCTTCACTACCACCTGACAAAAATAAGGTGGGAGGCTTGGCTAAACACTACTGAATGTGAACAAAGCTTGGGGTTTATCCAAAGGTGAGACCAGTCGGAGTTATCAGCATGGCCCCATATCCCCAAAGCATCTTTTCAATCTAATGTCATCACCTTTAAAAGGAGATAAATGTTGTATCTGTAACCAAAATGACAGTGAGGCTGAACTGAGATTGCTCCAGTGAGAAGGAAGGTCCCTGGAGAGGAAATTCTCCATAGATTTTTTTTTTCTTCTTCTTTGAGACGGAGTCTCACTCTGTTGCCCAGTCTGGAGTGCAGTAGTGTGATCACAGCTCACCGCAAACTCCATCTCCCAGGTCCAAGTGATTCTCCTGCCTCAGCCTCCCAAGTAGCTGGGATTACAGGGGCACACCATCACGCCCGGCTGAGTTTTGTATTTTTAGTAGAGCTGGATTTTGCCACGTTGACCAAGCTGGTCTCAAACCGCTGACCTCAGGTGATCTGCCCAGCTTGGCCTCCCCACATGGGATTACACATGTGAGCCACCACACCTGGCCCATAGATTTAAATTCATAAATGGCAAATAGGATTTCTTTCCTGATAGTAGAAGAGAGAGTAGGTAGCAGGAGAGCATGCTCTGTCATGAGGATGGGAGCGTAACTTCTAGGAGTCTTAGCTGGGCCTTGAGTGCTCATGAGTGCAGGTACCACAGGCAGAAGAGGAGGCATGAAGGCAGGGAGTCCCTCTACTACTCACCTGGGACCAACCCCATTCCACTCTAAACACAGAGTACCTGGTTTCAAGCTTTTGCTCCCATGTCTATTAGCTATGTGACCTGGAACAAGTTATCTAGGCTTTCCACGACTCTTTTCTCATCTGTTAAATGAGGGGATGATCATGCCTACCTCATAGGCACTATCTATTGCTAAGAGGATTAATTTGAACAGTACTTAAAATGTTTTTAGCACAGTGTTTGCCATCCGAAAAGCACTCAATAAATGCAGTTGTTATTGATATTATTGTGATTATTATTATCCTTATTACAGATTTGATAACCTACTAAAATAATCAGTGGGAGGATTAAATGAGCAAATGCATGTGGAAGTGACTAATGGAAGTGGATGACGGGGTGGTAAATGATTGAGCAGTGACACCCTAGACGACTCCTAAATAAGAGGGTGGGAGGTAAGGGAAGCGACTTGACTTGACATCCATAGTTCTGCCCAGTAAGGAATAGGTTTTGAGTTCTGATCATTCCCAAGCATCTCTCAGATGAATTCCTGTGGCCACAAGGCATGTGCTACTGAAGGTGCCACCGAGAGCCTGCTGAAATACCAGGCAAAGCCAAGAACACGAGACGAGAGCTCAGCCTCTTTCAGGTTGAAGAGACAGGGAGCAACAGCTTGGCCAGTGGCCTGTACCGCAAGCTGAAAGGACACCAAACCTGCAGCGA